CCGTTTGGTTTCGGCTTAGTGTGAGATAGGCGACTAGGTGAACGATAGGGAGGCGTCGTTATGTACCGTGTAGGCTTTCTCACTTCACACGCATATGAATGCGCTGTTTTATTGTTCAGCAATCACGAGGTTGTTATATAGCACACATTTACTTGCATAGATAAACACGATACAATACAACAGCAGCTGACGCTTCGGCAGTATCGCCTTCTTCAGAGCCTGGAAGGGTATACTGATATACGATCTACTAGGCCAAACGCTTCAGTAACCCTTACAAAAAGACGAAAAACTATAACAACTATAACAATGCTGTGGCAAAAAGATCGATAGAAATAGCTGAGAGACGTGCGAAACAAAGGACCCGCATGGTGTGGTGGTGAACGCGTTACTCCCCGGAAAGGACAATAGCGCGTTCGTTCCCCACCATAGACACCTGCGGTCCAGAGTTTTGCAAATATCTCAGCAACGTTGTGGTTGTATTTCGCTTACTTAGTAACCTGCCATGAAAATTATAGAAGGCAGAAAACAAAACGTTAAACATTATAACAATTATATTGTCAATAGCTTCTCGAAAAACTCATTGCTTTTACGGGAGTGTCACTGAGGACTGAGGAAGGCTAGAACAGCTGATTATAGTCGCATATGGTTGGTGACTGCACTCCCCACATCAGAAATTGATGCGAAGATAAGGAGCCAGGTCGTGTGTGATCTCTGGTCAACCCTTCCTGCTATTCATTGTAGGGTTTTTGGCATTGATCCAAAAAGCCTCTAGGAGTTTTCGCGCTGGTGTTTTGGACTCCTGTTCAAGGATATTGACTTTTACTTCAAAATCGTCTCCGCTATGCTTTTGTATCCTATGCGTGCCTAGTGGTGTACTTTGTCTTAGTTTTCGTTTGCCATCTAGCTGTTTTTTTATACGGATACACGGAGGTCTGCTTGTTTCGCCAATATATTCATCTCCGCAATTATTACAAGAGATCAGGTTTATCGTACCTGAACTCATGTAATAACCGTCCTTGCCATAGGGGCGAATTGCGCAATATTGTATCACATAGATGGTCATATAGAGGATTAAGAACTACCTGACGACGTAGAGTAGCCGGTGGTCGTTCAACCATCGTTACCGATTCCTCTAGACCTGCCCTAAGCATCATTTAATAGCTGCGCTTACTTCATCGCTAATAAAGGGCAACATAAACGGGGCTTTCTTTTGGTCAAGTGTTTCGCTTGGGCGCCTCGCTCTCCTTTTAAACTTATCTCATGCGGTAACTATTTCGTAGCCATCGGAGATGGCTATTTGCTGAGGCAATTCCGGCGATTCTTCCTTTAGTTCCCTAGTTGTGCACACAGAGGTGCTGAAACCTGCTTCTCACAAGTGCTCTCTCTGCGTGTGAAGGGTGGGAAGAGAGGAAATGAACTAGGATGTTTTTGTTACTTGGTTTTCGGTACCACTTTTTCATGTAATCACTACTTGATAAGTTGATCTGAACGTTCAGAAATGGAAGCCAGCACGGAATAAGTTTAGAAGGAAAGCGACTTGCAAAACGAAATGGCCAAAAGAAAGCCCCGTTGATGCTGCTCTTTATTAGCCATGAAATAAGCGTAGCTATAAAACGATTCCTAAAACGGGCAAGTCTAGAGGAATCGGTAGCGATAGTTGAAATACCACCGCATTCTATACGTCGCCAGTTAGTTCGGAACCGCCTGTATGACCGTCTATGTGGAACAACAAATTACGTAATTTGCCCTTACGGCAGGGACGGTGATTGCATGAGTTCAGGTACGATATACCTGATCTCGTGTAACAATTGCGGAGATGAATATATTGGCGAAACGGGCAGACCTTTGTGTATCCGTATAAAAGAACACCTAGATGGCAAACGAAAACTAAGATTAGGTACCCCACTAGGCACGCACAGGATACAAAAGCATAGCGGAAGAGACGATTTTGAAGTGAAAGTCAATATCCTTGCACAGGAGTCCAAAACACCAGCGCGAAAACTCCTAGAGGCTTTTTGGATCAATGCCAAAAACCCTACAATGAGTAGCAGGAAGGATTGACCAGAGATCACACACGACCTGGCTCCTTATCTTCGCATCAATTTCTGATGTGGGGAGTGCAGTCATCAACCATATGCCACTATAATCAACTGTTCTAGCCTTCCTCAGTGAGGGTCCCGTAAAAGCGATGGGTTTTTTGAGAAGTTGTTAATCATATAATTGTTATAGAGTTTTTCGTCTTTTTGTAAGCGTTACTGAAGCGTTTGGCCTAGTAGATTGTATACAAGTATACCCTTCCAGGCTCTGAAGAAGGCGATACTGCCGAAACGTCCGCTACTGTTGTATTGTGTTGCGTTTTTCAATGGAAGTAAATGTATGCCGTATAACAACCTTGCGATTGCTAAACAATAAAACGACGCATTCATATTCCAATCCCGAAGTTGATAGAAAGTCGATCGTGGGAACTGTTCACACGCATATTTTTTGCGTGTTCTATTGTCATTCGTATATTTTCATTAAGAGAATTTTCCGTTAATCTTTAGAAAACAATCTTATACAGAATACAATAAGGAGTGTAGGAATAGCTATTGTTCGCTTCAGGATGTGTCGCTTGCCGTTCCTCATTCTCATTGGCTTCACCTATGGTGCTGACATTCGTATGGACTGTCATTCCGAACCCGGAGCCACAAAACAGAATTGCCAAAAACGGGGATGCATCTGGTCACCATGGCCCGCAGATGTCAGGCACATTTTTTTCGTAATTCGTAATAAACATGACCATTTAAACTTTACGATAAGAAAAGAAGGAAAATGCGTTGATAAGTGTGTGACGGTCGTCCTTTTTTGCATCGTTGGGCGTTTTGATGTTTGGTTGTCACTTATGTTTTCACTGTTGGCTTCAGTCATACATAAGATTTTAATATCTTTTTTAAGCCAATACATTCTTAACACATTGAAATTATAGCTGTCATCTGTCCACTCGTTAATCCTCCTTTGACACGAGCAAGGTCTCCGTTCGTCTTTGTCGCTAGCCGTGTTGAATAATGAGATGTCTTCGCTCAATGCATATACATAGTCTTCGTGAAGGGTCTTCATGATGACTCTCTTTCAGTTCTCCTATTACTGTTTTGTCTCAACTTCTGATGTAGCGCGTTCTTCATATCCATGAATGTAAAACATTACGGCCTGTTATACTCTCGCAGTGCTTGAATGAGTAGTTTCGTAGCTACATGGATATGAACCATCTTACTATACTTCTTAGTAAACTCTTCTTTACGGGAGTAGGTGTAGCCCATCCATGCTCTACCGATAATTCGAACCATGGATTGGCAGACGTGAGAAAAATTGGGTAATAGTTCTTGAAATCTTTAAGGACTCCTTATTATTCGAGCGATATGATCCTACCGACCTTCATTTAACTACGTACTTTATATTTTGGCAGGTTCCAAAGGTGAGTTGAAGAAATGAACAATTTTTTATGGTTTTTAATGGCTTTGAGGCTTCGTTTCTTAAAATGTGTGATTTCTTCTCCTTCGTTTGGGAAAAAAACTTGTGCAGAGAAAATGGTCCGGTTCGGTAAAGAACTTTAGAACAGCAACGTAAGTCATTAAGGAGAGCTGAGAGACAGGCAAGGCTAAGGACCCGCATGGTGTGGTGGTGAAGTGCGCTGCTCCCCGGTAAGGACAACAGCGCGTGTTCGTTCCCCACCGCATACACCTGCGGTCCGGAGTTTTGCAAATATCTCAGCATTATATACGAGTCATTGGGGAGAATTTATTACTGCGCACTGCACCATAACCCTCTCTAGTGGGAGTTCTCGTATCTAGTGCGTAACAGAGTTCTTTCGAAATTGCCGCTTAGCATAGATACGATAGTCTCCAACCGTTATTGTTCCTTTTGGGCTCGTAGCTCTCGCTACTAAGTTTTTCAGACCTTTTTCTGGAACCAATCTTTGTGTTGAAGTTGTGACTTTGTAGAAGGCAGGACCTTCTTAGTGGAACTTCTTCAAATCCATATAGGCGTATAATGATTCCATCATATCTACTTGACCTCGTATATTCAGACTAATGAACGAAAGTTTTAAAGACCTAAATAGGCGTGATACCTGTTGTTTTTCAAAGGAGCGGATTATTTTGCTAATGCTTATTAACGAGGACGCAAACTACCGTACTTCTTTACTTCGGCAAGTTCACTATCAAAAGCAGTACATAATGGGCGGTGTCTTCTTATCGGGGCCTGTCATGGCCTGTCCGACGATGTCGTCTTTGATTTTGGCCTACGTCAAAATCTCACCTTTAGTGCATGGTCTAGTTTCTAACGTGCTGATGTTGCCTTCTCGCCAAATACGTCACTTTGTTGTCTGGCATTGCCGTGACGACTGCAGCATACCTTAGGATAATTTATTATGATGTCGCAGAGTAGACATAGATCTCATATTTCCAGGTGGACAACAAACTCTTTCTGTGCCATCCTAGGTTACCTCAGCTGATTGTAGGCTTTTCGTACAACTAGCTCACATAAGGTAAACCCAATGCACATTTATGTACATATGAATGTGTCGGTGTACATATGGAAAGTACAGACCAATTCAGCATAGTGACGATCTATTAGTCTTTGCACTGAATCCACCTTGATCTCACTGTCTTTTGTCGGTTCTAATCCTCACCGACCACCTTAACCGCAACTGGTCAGCTTTTGACTCATCATATCATGGAGATTCGTGGATTATTGAATATGTTCTTGCTTTATATTTACAACAACCCATTCATTTCAACAGACCATAACCTCTAGAATAAACAAAATTTCAAGTTTTCGTATGTTGTTGGTAAAGCAGGAATTTTGGAATAGTGAATAAAAAAACTTGTTTTTAGAGAAGCGTGCCATGGTGTTACTTGAAGAGCGGAATCGGTTATACAAATGTATCAACAACAGGCTCTGTAAGTCCTATTTGATAGCTAGCAAAGATTGAAAGTGTTCCAATAAAAGGAAGATTTCCCAATATGCTGATAATCCTTTTAGTCCTAATTGGCCGTCTAGAGACGAAAAATACCAACGTTACCCTTATCCTTTCAGGGCAGCTCGAGTTTTCAAAAAAAGTGCGGTATTTTCAGGTCATAACCCTGAAGAAGAACAACGGTCCCCGTAATCCGTGGGGAGCCGATATCGAGGGAATTCAGTTTACTAGCAGTTCCATTGGAAAGACGCTGAACGTCAAAATTTTTGTTGACGGCCGGTAATTTGTACTAAAGTTTTCATTATTGATTGTATCGATTGACATAAGGGCTAGAATTCCATTATTGGTTTCTTCAACATATTTCCTTACATTGTTTAGCTTACAAGAGGTTATCACAATTTTTTTACTCGGGTAATATTTCCTTGCCTTCGCTACGGTGATCAGAGTCGATTGTCCATAGCATTTCGTTGGGCCTTCGTAGTCGTCGCTTAAGTGTTAGTGGAATAAAAATTTTGTAACGGCGCCTTGTGGTCTGAACAAGCCAGAAAAATATATTGACTATTCAAGCTGAGGTTAAGTGAAAGTCGGTTTGGAAAGGTATTGCTTGCTTCTCTTAGAGATGATTCAGATATGAACCTCCTGTCGATCTGCCTCGGAAGCCTTCCATTTCTGCCGACAGTTTACAGGTATTCTTTGTAGGTTTAAAAATCGTTTCAAATGGATTTCTGATACATTAGGGAACATACAAACGAGTGTAATGTTGGGCAACATTCTAATCGTTTCAATATTGATTAGCCCTGAGCACTAGTGTTTTATCCGTAAGCTTCATAAGTTCACGTTAGCTTTATTCAATTTCCAGTCAAAATGGAAAAATGTGCTTAACAGAACTCAGTGTTATAGACGTTTTATTACCTTTCAACTTGCAGCTTACCACTGGCCTTGCGAACGATGTATTTTATTTCGTTGTGAAGAGGAAAAGCACGGGAACACCACTTTTCGACACTTCAATCGGTCAGTGAATATCTGATAGCCGTGTTCGATTAATTAATTGAAGATGTTCACCAGTCTCAATGCATCTTACGGCTTGTCTACTTGGACGTATAAACTTTTCTAGTATGCTTTTTTTGTTGGATTGGCTGCAGTTACAGCCAGAAATGTTTTATCAGACCTTGGGCAAAAAAACTACTTTCTGTACATTAAAATATGCAAAGAAAAGGAGGCAGGTTTTGGGGTGAGCTTGTTCATTTACATGGATCCTACTGCGTACATGGATCCTACTGCGATTTCTTCCTTTGTGTAAAGAATGACAGACGAAATCTTTCACTGGTTAGGTATTAATGATTTTCCGATATAATCTTCTCCGATGTAATCAAGGTGTTCACAGAGAAAGTGCGATTCCTCTGTTGGTGATGCCCGTCAGAAGGGCTTTTCGTTTCGTATTCAATCTTGCGGGCTAGAAACTTTAAAACAAAAAACTAGGCTTCGTCACGAATGTGGTGACATATTGAAAACAAACATTTCAATATTCATATCAAGTTTTTTTTCCATGGTTTCGTTTAAATGAATCCGTTAAGGCCTCATGTCCGCCACTTTTTCTGAGAGGTGATTCCAAAGAGATTGAATTTCAGGAGGCTTAATATTCTCCGATAAATTCCTACAGCTTGCAACGTACCTACCATCAGATGCGATGTATGGCTGGGGAGAGAACGTTCATCCAACTTTAAAGGTTCAGGCATTGTAATATTTACAAAAATTCTAACAAATTTTGATTGTTACAATCCAAAGCGAATTGCTTGTTAATCAGATTGTTCCACACCATGGTTTTTCTATCTACAAATCTGATTGTTTTACAGCATAATTTTTCCACTTATCGGACGTGGGGAATGTTAGCAAGAGATGAACCGCCCAATTCAGCGTTCTTGGATACGAAAAACCTCTATGGTTAATTTTTTTATTAATTGTTTATTGGTTAGCTTATAATTTTTGAAAGGTATATGCTTAATTAATATGTGGAATCCATCGAGTACCTTAGCAAATGCTTTAAGTACAAATTCAAAACTTTGACGCCACTCTTTGTGATTTTGTCGTAATTTTCAGGAGTCCACCCTTTTTACATGATCCTGGAACCAGATGGTAATGCTCATGGAGTTTTTATTCTTAACAGTAATCCTCAGGTAATATCGAATGAATCTAGCATTGTATTAAGTGTGAAAAAAGCTCATAGCACTAAAATGCTATGAAGTAAATGGAATTGCAGGAAGTAACAACAGCACCTGGCCCGGCGTTCATCTACAGAACCATCGGGGGGAACCTCGATCTCTACTTTTTCCCAGGTCCAACGCCCGAGGAAGTTACGCAGCAGTATCTAGCACTAATAGGGACGCCTTTTCTACCAGCATATTGGGCTTTGGGATATCAGGCAAGGAATTCTCTCGTTGGAAAATGGCACTTGGTTTCACAGATCTTACATAGAGTTAAACACAAGGCGTTACCTAGCAATAACTACTAGCGGTCATTCGAAGTGGAATCAATTGAAGAGAAATTCAACTGGTGAAGTTAAGGAATAACAGCAGTGTCTTGTGGATTGTCGTTATCAAGAAATAATATGTTGTGCCACTAATTTTCACTTCAGGGGCTTTTAGTATATTCCTTGCTATTAGAATATCTGACTTTATATCATTTGCAGAAAGATCATAGAAATACTCTTTATCTTCTACTGATGGCAATATTTGAACTCAGTCCTAAAGGATACCGCAAATTTCTTTCCTGCAATCAACAAGGGTTTCTTGAACGTTACTTTTTGCAACCGTTTAATTCAACGATTTTTTCCTTCTGCTAAGTAATATTTGAATGTCCAGTAAGACAGGTGAACTACCTTCAAAGAAAAAAATATTACTGGCTGCACTATTTGGTCCATTTTTGCTCTTACTCCCTAAGTTTTTAGCTATCACGTTATGGTTACAAGGATCTGGACGACATGGTGAATATTATTGAAAGAAACGTAAAAGCCGGAGTTCCCATGGATACAGCAGTCGCCGATATCGACTATATGGACCGATACAAGGATTTCACCATAGGAAAGGTAGAGCGGTTTACTAAGCTCGTTGCTCAATTCAACACACAGATCACAATAATAAAGTTTCTATACATTTTACAACAAGCTGTTACGTTAAAGAAGTGAGGGAAAGCATCACGAAATTGCGGTTACTGAGCAGATCGTATGGTAAAGGCATCGAGAGTACAGTTGATGTTGAATGTTAGAAAAGAAAACCTTTTTCGAAAAACTGTCTCTTATCTATAACATCCTCTCAACGGTTTACCGCCTAATCGTGGCTGGGAGGTGTTCCTGTGTGTCGGATTGCGATATACAGCGGGGGATTCGTCTCTACGGCAGGGTCGCCCAAGGTGAGAAGGAGTCCGGTGTTTCCACCAGGAAGCCTGGCTAAGAGTAAACCAATACCAGAATCCACCACCGTTTTGGTATCAAAGTCGCATGGTGGCAAATCTCCTGATCCACAAGGTCTGCGACTGCCTGTCGTGGTGATTACCTGGTGCAGATTTTGGCCAATATGTCCTCGGGATTCCAGCGAACCACAATGGCTTAACCAGCAAATCTCCTAAAAATGGTGATTATGTTGGGACCCGCACAACTAGTGATGACTAGCCGTTCTAGTATCAACTGTCAAGTAAGTATCTATAACATGGGAATATTCGCCCAATATCTCAACCTTTTTATTTGCTGCCTATTCTTTTTAACGGCAGGGTATTTTGCAAAATATAACTACTATAATGCTGAGATATTTGCAAAACTCCAGACCGTAGGTGTCGAAGGCGCTATTGTCCTTTACAGGGAGTAACTCGTTCACCACCACACCATGCGGGTCCTCCGTTTCGCCTGCCTCAGCTAGTTCCATCGATCTTATGCCATCAGCAATCACCCCTCAATGGGATTGATCTGGAGAGCGCGTTCGTTCCACGCCACATACACCTGCGGTCCGGAGTTTTGCAAATATCTCAGCATTATAGTAGTTTACTTTGCAAAATACCCTGCCGTTAAAAAGAATAGGCAGTAAATAAAAAGGTTAAGATTGTGATTATAACTGTAGCCTCAGCTTAACTCGGTTCAATGTCGATTTGGGCTCCCCGGTTCAATCCCGTTGACGGGTGATTGCTGATGGCAAAAGATCGATAGAACTAGCTAAGAGACAGGCGAAACGAACGACCCGCATGGTGTGGTGGTGAACGCGTTTCTCCCCGAAAAGGACAATAATGCGTTCGTTCCCCACCGCAGACACCTGCGGTCCGGAGTTTTGCAAATATCTCAGCATTATAGTAGTTATAATTCGGCCAATAGTTTGTCGCTATGTCACTACATCGCAGCCGAGGGTGACAGGATGTATAGGTGATGATATTGTTCATGTTCTTTAACTGAGAAATGGAGCCTACTGGGCAAGTCTGTTGTACAACGGATACTACTGGTTTCCGTTGAAATAAATACCATTGATGCATATGTAAGTTAAGAGTGAATTCTCTTCAGAAATGGGCTGGTCTGTCCACATACGTAAGCGAGCTGCACAGCAGGGGAATGCGCACGATTTTGATTTTCGATCCGGCAATTCAGGTCGACTACGAGTCATTCCAAAGAGCAATGGACCAGGTAAGGCAATTATTATGTTGTTGCATTTCTTGTTTACATATCGTATTTTCTTCTTGATCGACTAACTTGGTCAACGTTCTTCTAAAAATAGCTGTTAAACAGAAAACCGACGCGAATGATGCTCGGGCTTTTAATCGCCTTCGAATTTTCGTTGCATAAAACACTTTGGACTTCGTTCTCCCCTTTTTCTCCTCGTTTAGTGCCCATTTCATCCTAAGGCCATGTCAGTCAGTTACATTTACTTCTTCTATCTTATTCAGAACGCTCGTTTCATTGAATGGGAACGTGAGGATCAAGTGATGCACTCAGTTCAGGTGCGCTACTATGTCAAATATGCCAAAGTGCTCCCAGCAAAAGTATACTATACGAGAACAAAGTGGTAGTAGTGCTGATACCGACGTTCATTAACGTTCAAATAGCCAATGTTTTTTCTTATCGACAAGCATACGCGATGTCGTTACAAATGTTTATTGTGGCTAGTGTTTGGCGCTGTCACCTGCTTCGGAGCAGCAATTATTCGAGTCGAATGCACACATGACTTGTTTCTTCTCTAGAAGTGGTTCTTCATCGTTGTGGGGTCGACCCAAATAGGGTGCAGTAAAGCCCCACGCGAATGAAGTACAAAACGGTCTTTGGTCGATTGTCAACTAAAATTATTTCTTTAAAAACGGTGACATTCCATATACAACAGTCGATTAAAATTAACTGGCACGTAGAGCATCAGTAATTTTTTGTTTGCTACTTCGTTCCTGCCGGGCTCTACTCTTCTCGATTCGCCTTGACGCGGTGGTGACAACGAATTGCAACATAGAAGAACGAAACAACTTCTGTGGATATTCCACTGAAATCGTTTCAGCTCTGGAGAAGGCGAATCCGCCGAAATGTTTACCAAAATAAAAAGCTGTAACAATCTCTTAAAAGCTTATTAATAAAAAAAGCAAAAAAGAAATATTCTACAAAGTTTAGAAAAAATATCCCCTTGTGGCCAACACGAAAATCATGCTTGGTGTGGTGTGGCCAGATCGTCACGTTGCATTCCCTGATTTCTTTGACACAACAGGGAACACGACGAAGTGGTGGATTCAGGAATTTCTTCGGTTTCGGAAGCAGGTAATCTATCAGACATCCATCTAGGCGTAAATTTCTGAAGTTTATCTTTTCGAGTGAAACAATTCCTATCGGTTCTCGTAGTCTAGTCATTAAGCTCTGCAGTAGAAGTTCATTAGCCATTAGTGTACAATTTACATAGCTTTATTTATATTTATACACTTCTATGTGCAAACAAATATAAAAACAAATAACCTGTATAAGAGATAAAGTGTCATATGCTGATCAATCCCAAAGGAACGGACTATGCATTTGACCTCACTAGGCATTGTTAGAGGTGATTGAATGCATATTTGGCCTATGCAATCACTTGAGGTGGCCTACCGATCTATCCAGCCATTGTTACCATCCTCACAGAGCACGGTTAGGGAAGAAAGATTAGCTGAGAGGAAGGCAAAGCAGGGACCTCACTGTGCAATGGATAACACATGAGCCTCCAGAAAGGGTAATCGTAGTTTCGAAACACACTTGAGGCTTCACGTTTTGCTCATATGTCAGCATGATTGTGGTTGTTCCCAAGCAAGTGTGGTACCTTTTTCCCGACCTGGAAGGAAGAGTGGCGTAGTGAACCCGATGTGGGGTAGAACCAGCACCTGCTCGTGTTGAATTGCATCACTACCAATGTGCTAACCGCCCTGTTAAAGAAGCAGTTACTGTTAGAAAGTTTTGGTAAATTGTGAAGAAGTGGCAAAGTTTTTCTGTAACATTATTCGGTTTAGCAACAAAGAAAAAGGGATTCGGAAAATCTACGTCATTAAGGTTCCCTATGACGGCATTTGGATTGATATGAATGAACCAGCCAACTTTGGCACAAACGTGCCCAATCCATGGTATTTCCACAGCAAGGATCATCCAAATATAGAGCCGCTCATGTGTCCATCCAGTAGCAGCGCAAAGGACAACGAATGGGATATGCCACCATATAAAACACACTCCGTCTATAATTACGGAGAGGTAAGTGACATCATTGTTCTCAGAAAGTCGAAAGTAAACAGTAACCCCTTCTCAACTAGTTTAAATGGTCACTAAGGAGAACTAATAAAAACCATTCTTGAGGAGCACAAATTCCTCTGTCTCTCGTGCTCAAATTTAAGCTTTCCTTTCTCATTGCTGAGCCAAATGAGCAATCGCTTAAAAGATTTTCGATCATCGAGTTCCTCAGGCAAATAATGGTTTTTGGGTGTCTCTAGAGCACTGCGGCGATGAATGAATCCTTTACAGTTGTCCGTCCCAGTCACTCAATAACAGCTGGGATTACATCTAGTGATTTTTGGGAAAGAAATACACTTCAGTGAAAAGCACTGTGAAGATCATGGTCTCGATAGGAAACTTGTAGAAAATCTAAATTAATTCAAAATAATTCAAAATTCAAAAGAATTCTTTCAAAATAAAACTAGTAAATAAAATAAATAATTCAAAATAAAACTAGTTGATTAGGGAGCATATCTGGCTACGAAAACCTTATGTATGATGGCTGTACAAGCGAACGGTACACAGCGGTTCTACAATGTGAAGAATCTCTACGGCTGGAGTGAAGCGAGGGCAACACAGCAAGCACTTCATAAGGCTATTGGCAAGAGAGGGACAGTTATTTCTCGGTCAGTTGGAAACTCAGCACTTGCACAAATAAAATTTCTGCAAAGAAAGAAGAATTTTCCATGTACCGACGAGGTTTAAAAAAGCTTTTGATGGCTGGGACAGTGGTAATAGTAACAGTGCCAATAATAATGGTAGTGGGGCAGGTAACAGCATTTTGAAACAATCTCGTGTTAGTTTATTAATGAAGTGATGTAGCAATTGATTATATTAGTAGTTGATAGTGGTATTTGGCAACAATAGTAATAATAGTCTTAACCTTATTTATTTACTGTCTGTTCTTTTTAATGGCAGGGTATGTTGCGAAATATAACTTCTATAATACTGAAATATTTGCAAAACTTCAGACCGCAGGTGTCTGCAGTGGGGAACGAACGCGCTTTTGTCCTTTCCAGGGAGTAACGCGTTCACCACCACAACATGCGGGTTCTTCGTTTCGCCTATCTCTCAGCTAGTTCTATCAATCTTTTGCCGTCACCAATCACCCGTCAATCCCGTTGAACTAGATGGCAGACAGGCGAAACGAAGGACCCGCATGATGTGGTGACGAACGCGTTACTCCCCGGAAAGGGCAATAGCGCGTTCGTTCCCCACTGCAGACACCTGCGGTCTGGAGTTTTGCAAATATCTGTTTTATAGAAGTAATAATAGTGGTTTTTTTTACATTATACACTTTACCCGACATGTCTTTTACACCAACCATGAGGATCCTTGCACTTCTTGCATTCAGTTCGTTTCCTCGCATCCATCATCCACAAATCTCTTTGAACTTCTCCCATTAGGATACGGCTGCTGCTTGAAGGTTTCCCTGTCGTCATGAATGCCGTTGACAATCTTCGATTAGTTTCTCCTTTGAATCCTAAGATAGCAGGGCTAGAGCGTTCCCCCTCAGAATGCAGATAGTGGACTTTTCCCGGACCAATCTGGTACCAATTTCCAGGCCCCGAAGTGAAAAGACGCTTAGTGAGCCCGCGAGCGAACCAGCGCCGTGCTCGTGATCAGCGGTATCGATATCACTGTGTCACTCTCTCCAGCAGTGGTATTAAAAATAATATTTAATGATAAAAGACGAGTGTTTTTTATATTTCTGCTCCAATTATATGGGACGTCTTTACATGATGTGCGAGTGTCTTTCATTAGATTCGTATTCTTTTCGTCATCCATGAACATGGTCGAATTTCTTTGCAGTTTCAACTGCAACTTTGATGATTTTGTTTTTGAATGTCGTTGAATGCTGGTCAAATTGATTCTCTCGGGAATCCTGGAATAACTCTGCGTTAGGTAATGCTTACCTGTTCTTCGTGTGTTCAAGGATATATTCCACGGCGTGGAAATGCCACTTTGTCCGCACCACTTGACCAAGGTGTAGACGCATTCTACACAAAGGTACTCGCAGACTGGGACATTCCGTTTGTTGTCACAGCGATACCGCTTTTCAACTCACCATTCATTACTCGAATTAGTAAAAGAATAAGATGGGCTTACACAATATCGCCATGGCTGCTCACGGCCCTCCCGACAGGGGTGCATGCAGTCAATAGATTTAGGCGAGAACGACATGAATGATTTAGCTCCAGAGCTGTGCAGGAGAGAGCGGGTGGTGTGCGGAATTCAAGAGCATCGGAGATGTAGTGGAGAGGAGAAGGAAAACGAGTTTTCGTGCCCACCTTGTTGAATCAACGATTCTTCTTTACCTTAATGTATGTGTCGGAAACTTGGTCGCTACGTCATCAGGATCATAAATCACTTAGCGTTTTCAAAGAGGACGATAGTAGGAGTATATCTCATCACTCAAATGAGAGAGATGATGCGAAGCTCCGATCTACGTCGACCATTAAAACTCGGAGACGCCGTTCTACACGCCAAATAGTCGAAAATAAGGTGGTTCGCACAAGTAATGCGTATGAACGACAGCCAATGGACAAGAGCCACTAGCTACTGGATGCATCGAGATGTCATACGAACTGTTGGAAGACCACCGACTCAATGGTCAGAGTTTTTCGCGAAAATCCTAGAATAAGGATATGATACTCAGCGAGTCCTCAGAGAATTGCGATGCTCTCGCACGCGAGAGGAACAAAGGGATAGTTTACTGGCGTCTGCTCGGAACACTCGACAATCAAGTGAATGAGTGGTGACACAGCTGGTGAGAGAAACTGTCAACTATCTCAGGAGTACTGCAAAGGCGAAATAGTGCTTTTCGAGAAAGAGCAAGTTTTCAGACAAATCGAAAGATTTTTATTAACTATGAGTAACTACTTGAGAGAAGAATTCAAAACAAAAAAGAGCGGACTGCTTGGTCTGCCTTAAGACCTCCGTCAGTGACAAGCATGCTAATTCCAATCTACGCGATTTGTAATTTAACACATGAATTTGTCCATCTGGGTATTGTACAGAAGCAACGCGGGCTGACTCTTTGACCACGTCGAAAAAGCTGCTTACAATAAAGGACACCACAGATATGCATTCTAAAAATGAACCGCCACATTCAGCACCAATCTGTTCACCATCGTTTAGACATTCAAAGAAAGTCGCCATGATTTAAATGTCGAAAAATGGGCAGTTCATCTCAGTACGGATTTAAGTATTATATCAGAAGTATCCACGGTTTCCTCTCAATTTTGCATCTATTAGTCGTGAGAAATGGTATTTTCCTAGATAGAGGAAATCAGCGACGAAGTGACTTTACAGTACAGTGATCCGGCTCGAAATATAGGTGCACAACGGAAGAGCCTTGCAAACAACTAGTCAGTTTAACTCGCCTTCATTCTAGAACCTGGCTAGGTAACCGTAGCTGGTCTCTGACCAGCCGTCACTCAGTTGCATTGGATTTGAGAACACATCGTGCTGCTAGTGAACAGTAAAGCGTTTGAAAACAAGCGCAGTGATTAGAGGTGCCATGCAATACAAATGATCCTTGGTTCTACTCGGCGCCAGCAGGCTAATCAAGCCCTCCAAACCCTTTGAGCTCAGCGAACTAGTAATGAAGTTCTTTGAGAGGACAAAAACATTCACTTGGCACATCGCAACACGATGCAAGGCTGCACCAGCCAAATACTCATTAAATAGCCTTTACAATTCTTGATGGAGCTCGAATGCAAGGTATGTTCCCCAGAGATTGGTAAGAGGTTTATTCTTTACATTTTGCTGGTTAACACCAACTATGCACACGAAAACTCCAAGCTGAACGCAAGAACACTATATTTTAGGATAAATCAACAGATTCTCTCTATTCCCCAACCACTCTTCCTCATAGAAAAAAACGGTGTGAAAAATAGTGCACGAAAGAAATATTAAATGATAACAATGATACGTGTTCATGTTAAAGTAAGAACATACTGCCAGCACTAAGAATGATTCAACAGGAAACCAAGTAGGGAAAACTACAAACATTCATTTCTACTATGTTTCTACACCTACTATTCTACTTTAAACGCCTTCTTAGTTTGTAGATCAACTTTTGCTTCCTCTGGTCACTATGGTGGACACTGGCTAGGCGATAACAGCGCTACGTGGTTTGACCTTCAGACTTCGATCATTGGAGTACAGGAATTCAACATGTTTGGAATTCCGTGAGTAAAAAACTAACACCGTGGAACCAACACTTGCTCGTAGATAGTTGTGATCTCAGTGTTTCCCAGCATTGCTCGCCTATTGCTATTCTTATTGTTTGTTATTGACGGGCTATTATTATTACTAACTATTATTATTATTACCTTTACTATTATTATCACTACTATTATGTAATGATATTATTATTTTACCATTTTATTTTATTTATTATTATCACTGATTATTTTTTTTAACTGATCCTATTATTCGTCGCTGTCCATTGGCGCCCTCTTTCGTTCAGCCGTACCAAGGAACACGTTTATCTGTAGTCCAGCGACCAATGACACAAAATGGGACACTTGTGAATGCCTTGCTTGAAATTTTTGCTTCTAATTAAAGACACGACAGTCGTATGCTTTCACAGGTACGTCGGTTCTGATATATGTGGATTCAATGGTGTGTCAAATGAAGAGCTCTGTTTACGTTGGCAACAAATGGGCGCATTCCACTCGTTCATGAGGTGAGCCATCGATTCATTCTTTTGTGAAACGCCTATGGAATAGTGAGACGAATTTTTATTGTTCGACATTTTTCCAGAATTTACCAAAACATTTTTCTACTGTAATCCCTTCAGTAAGGACGAATCAGAAGCTATAAGGATCAAAGTCGAATTAACATTCTGCATCTTGCATGTTGATAGCTCTGTTTGAGTTATCCGACATGAACCGGAATTTTAAAATGGTGAAGCATTGAACTTTATCATAATTTGTCATTTCGGAATGATTACATAGTACATTGTCTCCTTACCTGTACATCCGTATACTTAGAGGGCCGTCTTCACGAGTTGTAAGGACACTAGCACATTTTCCAAGTTTCTTTGTCTCGCAGTCGTCGTCTGTGGCGATGGTTTGGTTCAAATATGGTGTCGGGCGAACGCAACTTTTTGACTTAATTACGAACACGTCCGCCCAACTTGTAGCTATGGTCCTAGAGGGCGTCTGCATCCTCATGGAGTCTACCTACAATGTCTATTTGTCGCCTGTTATTCTCATTTTATGACTAACCAGTCTATGTTTCGCTATCGATGTATGTTCGCCTAGATCTTGTGAAGATGAGATAGGTTTCGAAAATCAGTACTTCGCAATCCGACTAGGTGTTGCGAGTGTCGGTTAGATTCAATAAAACATCATCAAAGCGCTCTGTTAGTAATGTGCAGACTTCTCGATGTGCTTGATGTATCATCCCACGTCTCGGCTGCATGACAAAGAACTGGAGCACGATTGAATCGAAAAGATGAGCGCGAATTTTCGGATTGTTTAGTTCGTCGGCGGCTTTCTCGGCAGACCGAATGCGACTGAAGTTACTCTCTTTCGTCTGTCTAATTCCTTTTTCATGATATTATCTATATCATCGAACGCCAAAATTGTGTGTAGGAGGTGGTCTGTGTAATCAAAGAACCATACAGTTTGATCCATTCGCCTTTGCACATTAGTTTTTCACGAACCGAGACTCCCATTGATATATGCGTAGTCCGATCCTTTTTGCGTCCTGTACAGCCCATTGATCATCGTCTCTGCATTGTTGGACTTCTTCAGGAGATGACGATGTCGTTGCTAAAACGAAATTGGGTCTAAATTTTGCACCAATAAGTATGTCTACCTCATCACAATCGAATGACTTCATTATAACTGCAGTGAGGCAGTAAACAGCTTCAACGATACAGTGTCTCCTTTTCGAATCCCTTTTCCTAAGGGTGAGGTACGAAGTCAATGGTAAAGCTATTTTTTTGCCGTAGTGCCGATAAAAGTCGTGTTTGTATGTACGGCGGGTCTACTTTTTGGTCGAAAAGCGCTCATAAGATTGCATTTGTTTCGACTCTGTTAAACGCTTTGTCATAGTCGATAAAGGTTAGGATAAGGAGCAGACACTACTCGCGACAGACTTTTATGACCTTGCGAACGGCTTCGATGTGGACCATGCAGTAAAATTCCTGTAAAAGTCCTGCTCGCTCAACTGGTTGAGTCTCATCCATTGTCTTTTATATGCACAACAGGACAACCGTCTTGAAGAGCTTATAGAGTACACTCAACAAGCATATTGGACGATAGTTACAACGATCCTTTCGGTTACCTTCCTTAGGCAAAATCACCGTGCGCAACGTCCTCTACTGGTCTAGGATTTTTTCCTTTTTAAAGTAGAATGTCATATGGTTCGCTGGAAGCCCGTGGAAATTGTGGGTTTCGGTTCTAGAGGACTTGGCTGTGATATTATCGTCGATCAGCTATCAAAATCAGGTCCTGGAGCTGTGCCTGTTTTCATGCTTTCTATTGTAACTCAAACCCCAAACGGAAGAATTCTAGGTGATGTTTCTCCAGGGTCTGGGACAGGGACTGTGGAACGAAGAAGGTTGCTGTAGGACTTTTCTGTTATCAACAACTCTGTATTATGGCGGGAACATTTAGTGATCCCATCAAATATCTTTGAAGGAAATCCATTCTGCGACGCCACATGGAATATGGTTCAAGGAATAAACATCAGTGTGTCCGTCACATAATACGAAAAGGAGGTGACTACTGGACGAAAAAATCATTTAAGTGGTTACCGAGAGAATTAATACAGGGATAAGCTGGGCTAACGTGTTGGTCGCATGTGTAAACAAGCTGTATCAACAGCTGAAATGCACTTTCAGATCACCGAACAGCAGCTGAAGCTACACGAGCTTCGTCATATATGGCAATTGCATGGCAATAATGAGATTGGAAGAAACATTGGGACTCGCGAGAAAGGTTACGACTGGTCTTACAAGTATCTGCATACCTTCTACAAGCTCGTACAGCTTCTGTGGATAGATGCGCTTAAGTCATCCTCGCCATAAAATCATGGGCTCGACACCCGACTTTTTCACCTTTAGATCTGCTTCTTTCCTATCACAAGACTTTGAAATCAATGTCGTAATGTATGGTCGTTGATCCTTATTCTTCTCAGGCAATGTAAATACAACAAGAAATTTTGTCAGCATTATTTAATCCGTGTAAAAAATGACCCTCAGAGCTCTCTCTATTTCAAAATTCTGCGCAAATGGGAGTGGAAGAAAGCATTAAGTTAAAAGTATAAGACACAATATATGCTTTGGAATGGTTCGCACAGAATCTATAGATGAAAACTAATATTTACTAGAAAGGAAGTTTGAAATGTTCATATTGTGAAATGGGACATTTCACTGGAGTAACTTACTAAGGACATCTACCAATTATAACTTAAAGGTGCGCCATGCTATTCGATAGTAACTCATTCCACAATTCGTTAGGAGTGAAAATCATAATGGTATTCCAGAAATCATAATGCCATTGGCGATTCACCACAAGATCCTGCTCAGTGGCCAAGTGTGGCGGCTGCTGCAAGGAAAGCTAATCTATTCCGATACAGATATCTCCCTTATCTTTTCAGGTAAGCATTGTACAGAGAGCAACACGGCAAAATGGTAAGTAGTTGGGTATCCGTATGAGGCAAAAAAAACAAAATATCTAGGTAGAAAAAATACTAGGAACTAGAATAAGTTAGTGGCGGCAACCGTTAGTGTATTGTGCCCTTCTAGGAGTTCCTGGAGTCGTATTTGTGGAGTAGACGAATTGAATAAGTGTAGAAGTAATACCGGATGTAATGAATCCATAAAGAATGTGGAATCTAACCACTACCAAATGCTGATCGTAAAACGGTAAAATTCAGTCTGCACTTTGCTGCCTCAATGATGGGAGGAACCGTGGTTCGTCCATTATTCTATGAATATCCCAGAGATAAGGCGACTTACGACTTGGGACATCAGTTCCTGTGGGGAAGTTCAATGCTCATTGCGCCTGTTATTTACCAAGTAGGTCTACTTTTTATAAAAATGGCCCTAAAATTATAATGGAGTGGAATAATTTCGACATCCAAGTTGAATATGCAAATTTTTGCTGTTTCACAGCAAAATGCTTCTACTCTACAATGAAGAAGATGAGATTCTCGTTTCAATTCCGGCCAGTAGATATCAGACCTAAACATTCAATGAGAATAAAAACTCTACTTGCTAAGTTCTCCCATGATCCGTAACCGTTACTTGAGTGGTCAGCTTAAAGCTTTTTCTTCATACAGAATGCAAAGTCCGTGGATGTGTACCTCCCTGAAGACGACTGGTACTCTTTGTTCGACCACAACTATGGACAATCGGTACCGCATGGACGTCAAACATTCCCTGCTCCGTGGACGTCACTGATCCCAGTTTTCGTAAGAGGTTGTGAAACTGTTTGTTTTACAGTTCACTAAGAGCTTCAAATGCAGGGCAAAATAGAAAACACACATCGAAGGACTTGAATTTTAACTCCATTTAAAAGGAAGAACAATTGTAAACTCTTTAGGAAACTATCATTAAAGGCTTGTTGGATTGTTGAGGCTGATAAAGAGATTTATTCGGCTAACGTCTCTATATCACCTTTATCAGAACTAAAGTGAGGTACATAAAGAGATTTGTTCGCCTAACCTTTCGACGTCTTCGTCTTCGTCAGAGCATGTGATCCGAGTCGATGGTCCACAACCGTTCGTGTTCTCGATGTGGCGTCTTCGTTGCCGTACCCAGTCGAATCTTCTTCAAGGAAACACCGCACGAATAAGGCAATCGGCAGCGCTATTTTATACAGGGTAATTGTTGTCGATACGATTATCCGTTGATAACAATTTGTTTTTCAACGGATAACCAATAATCATTGCAAGAATGTGTTAATTATTGCTACCGAGGTTAAATGACGGTAGGTTAGAAAATTATTGCTTGCTATTTGCTATGTGATAGCTAGTATAATACCGACTGCTGCGGGATGGATTATACATTGGAAAACAAACTGTTGTCAACATGTAGTCGTATCAACAGCAATAATCCTGTGTAAAAGAGCGCTGTCAGGTGACCTTGCCTCATTCGAGAGTTGTTCCTCTGGAGAAGATCCGACTCAGTACGACAACGAAGACGCCACATCAAGAAGACGAACTACTGTGGACCATCAACTCGGATAACATGCTCTGACGAAGACGAAGACGTCGAAAGGTTAGGCGAACAAATCTCTTTATGAACCTCATGTTAGCTCAATAATCCAAGAAGGTATTGTTTATTACTATCGAGGTTAAATTACGGTTGGTATGAAACTAACCTCCAAAAGCGTTAAAATCGATAGCCACTGCAAAATCTGACATTCTCCAAGACCTTTGATTACAGCAGGTGTAGCATTTGACGTGAAACTTAATGAAACAATGGGTTTGCAACAAACGGAATTTGTTGCTTAGAGGGATTTCAAACCATCAATGGGCATTTTCGATAGCAACGTAATGGTGGTTGTTCGTACTTCATTGATAGAAGTGAATTGCCGTAGAATTCACACTTTCAAAACATCAGCGATGCATGTTTAAATATTAGAAGGGAGGCACTTATTTACGCAAAGTATTTCGCTTCTTCCCATAGTCAATAAGATGAAGTGTCAGAGCACTTTTAAACAAAACATGTTTGTCAATACACCTTTTCGTAACCTAGAATGACCTTTACTATTTGAAATTCTGCTAATAATCCCATATCTCAAGCAGACACCGACAAACTACATTCGTCCTTGTCGCACACCAGGACTCCTCATTTAGCTTTATTCACTAAACGGACACTTACGCACTTTGCGCGATGCCTTTTTCGCGGTTTTTAGGGAGCAAATAGCCACTAGAAACTCTTAAAGCTCCACTGTTGCGTAGGTTTACGCTTAAGTGGGCTTACGAATGCAGCTTTCCTACTTTTTTCAACGTAGCTGAACACCCGCTTTAGTCAACGTTCAAACCCGATGGAGCTTCACTACCCGGCGAGTCAGAGATTTTTCTGAGTATTTCGTTACAAATGGAATCCTTAAATATTCTCAGTCAATTCTCAGTCTGAATGCTTTTAAAGCAGAAATTCAAATCGTTCTTCAAAAATAGTTATGTGTAATGAATACGTATTGATTGGTCATACCGATGTTATAGGGAAGTCGGTTTTTGAAAGATATATAATGAATTCAGTTTCTATAACAAAACTTTTGTTCCTACTCTTATAGTGGTTACTTTTCAATTCAGGAAATTCCAACCGCTTTAATGAGCTTCACACATATAGCATCATACTAAAAAATGCAAGGTAGAAACTTTCATTGTTAAAACCGGTAAACCTACCCAGTATGCTTTCGTTTCTCTTCTTTTGAACTGTGACACGCAACATAAAAGCGATAGTCTAGGTGGTTCTATTCTACCGCGTCAAACACCCAACGTGACCACAGACTACACACGACAAAACGCTTTCGAATTGTTGATCGCTCCAGGTATATCCTATAGTAAGTTCCACTCATTCTTAGTACATTCTTGTCTATACTTATATTTTGTATAGTTTTTCTGTTTGTTCAAATATTTATTCGACAGTACCACATGGAATAGTGGATCAACGGCTGTGCATAGCATATCTAACCATTCCACAGAAATCATGCTCTACAACAGTTTTGGGTCGTTTTTTAGTTTATAACAAAATCCATCTAAGCAAAGCATTTTGAAGCAGAGAGCAATGTATTTGTTGATCGAGCCCTCCAGATCCTCATACTGGCACTGACAAATCTGCGAATTTAACACGAGCATCACACAGATTCATCAACGTCTGGGACTTAATAATTTTCCATCATTCAGTCCTTAACTTCTACCTGTTGTCTTATATTATCTATGAGATATCGTTTATAGATGATATGAAAGATACAAAATATACGCACACGAAGAACAGTCTATAAGACACTAGAGAAATACCAAAGACAACCAACAGTTCGCATTTTTTTTGATGAGCAAACACGAGATTGTTACTTCATTCCTTATATTCACAAATGAAAGGGAGAAGCCATGTTGACGCAATCTAATCAGCCAAATATTTCCATAACCAAGTAGAGAAAATAATGAGTGAAGATTCCAATCGCATTGAAAACAAAGTAGTTTTTTCGAAAACTCACCACTGGCTATGAATCTACCACTGAGTATTTCGCGTGGAGGCCAACCGCACAGAGTTCACATGGATAGCTAATGTGGGTCTCTCGCATTAAAATATAACTATTAAATATTGTCTTAGATCACGTGTGATGCGAGGCATTTCTCTCTCGGGCTCATTTTTTTGGATTCTTGGAATTTATAAGAAATGAATCGAGAGTTTTGCACCCTAAAGTTTTCGATTCCTGTGCGAGAATGCTACTTCTGCTTCAGAATATCCTTCGTTATATCTCTATGCCCCTTGCGCTTAGTGGTGTTTTGTTTGACTTAAAGTTTTCCAACTAGGCGCTCTTTCATATTGGCCCACAGTGGTCTAACCGTTTCGCAAAATATATTCACCTTCGCACACTTTCCGAGAGATTAGAACTTTCCAAGACAACTCTACCCAAACTTATGCAATCACCGTTTCTCCCGTTAGGGCATGTTATGCAATTTTATATTGTGCACAGACAGTCATTCCCAACTTTTTGCCGCCTCATCGTGGCTAGGTGTTCCTGGTGTCGGCCTGCGATGTACAGCGGGAGAATTCATTCCCCAGCAGGGTATTCCAAGCTGAGGAGTCCAGCATTTACATCGGGAAGTCCAGCTAAGAGTAAACCAATACCAGGATCCACCACCGTCCCGCATGGTGACGAATCTCCCTCTAATCTACAAGTGCAGCGAGTGCCTGTGGTGGTGACGATCTGGAGCAGATTTTGGCCAAGCCAACCTTGGGACTGCAGGGAAAACGATGACTAAACCAACAAAACTCCGAAAAATGGAGATTATGCTGGGGCTCGCACAAGCAGTGACGACAGGCCGTTCAAGTATCAAGTATCAGGCATTGACAGTGCATACAGGCGGTTACGAATTAACTGGCGTTTTAGAGTGCTCAGCAAACTACAACACTTCAGGATTGAAAAAATCCCTCCTGGGTCTGCAATTCAGCACTAGCTCGATACATCGGTAAGCGAGCCATTGTAAAAGCCAGATGTGCATTCAATCACCTCCAACAATGCTTAATCAAGTCGAATGCATGGTGCATCTCTCAGGGATTGATGAGCTCCGAGAGCTTTATTCCCTATTTCTTTTTATTTCAGAGTGCTCGGTGATATTTCAGTTATTGCTACTGAACTCTCTGGATCGGCCCTTTTTAAGCAGCGTTTTATAGATAGACTTATTTCGTTGCAGGTAAAGGGCAGGATGAACGGGGCCATATTCTCGGTGGAGTTATCGTTTAGGGTGTGGTTTTTTATTTACAGCTATCTCAAGAAGCTACAGTTTCCTTTGTTAGTAAAGAATAAAGTCACAATCACGTGTTTGCTCATCAAGAAAATAGTGAATTATTTGATCGGTGCCGAAGTTAATAGAAAATCGGTCTTGGGAATTGAAAACAGTGGTGATAAACAGTAATTACCCCTTTTAAGTAGCATATTACTTATGATCAAAAAGAAATATTAGCTAACTGAAGTATATCAGTTAAAGGGACTAGGAAAAACACAAGTGTCGGAAATCCTATAGCCACAGGGAACTTAGTGGAAGAGATATCGCCCACTGTGCATAATCCTTTGGTTTGACTCGTTACAGACCAAGGAGTGAAAGCATGTGGGATGGGGAAATTGCTACTAGAGTTGTGTGGAAAGTGCTCCTTCCTATCCATTACATAAGGCTGGCGACTACATATGGTAAACGCTTGGGAAAGCCCCAGCACGGCTGTCCTAGATTTCTAGGACTGACGAAGTAGCAGCGAAACTTACACAAAAATCTTAAGGCTCCGGGGGATAATAAGTGCGAGGAAAGAAATATAACGAAAGAAGTGCTGGTATTACCATCAAATATAATGTTAGGTTATGAAGAGATAGAAAAAAACTAGTACGAAAATCGCCAAAGACGTAAACTAAATCAAATGTTTCTTCATCACGGTTTTCTAAGGAGCTCGAGATTCGGCTGAGGGTCTACTTTTCTGGGATGACGGCGAAAGCATTGTCAGTTCATTTAAAACACACGATTTCTATCAGTGGTCGTTCAAGTACTATGTGGACCATCAAGGCGCATTTTTATCAATAAAAACCGAACGAAAAGCTGTGAGTTTTTTAGACTAATTTCTTTCTCACCTCCAGTTTGTATATTTCTACTCATAGTTTTACCCCTTTTTTTAAACCGATTCAAGTTCCAATTGCAGAAGTCATTCTCCGCACCAACAATCGATACGCTGGAAATCCTAAACTACAAGTATTTTCCCGACCTTAGGAGTTTCAAGCTGAATAACGAAGCGGTTTGTGATATGATATAAAACAGTATACGGTCGTTTTTGACTTTTTGTTTACAATCTCAGATCCTTACAACAAGAATCTTTTGTGTTGACTTTGTGAAAAAAGACATACCAGTAGGGAAATATAGTCTTTTTTGATACTGGTTTAGCATTGGAATATTTGCAAGGTCAGTAGGACTATAGGCTTAAATTATTACAAATACTTCAAAGACAAGAATTGCTCCATATTATAGGTGAACGTCAACGTCCAATCTTCTTACAACCCTTTAACGACGACTTTAAGTGTGACCGCGAAAAATTTCATCGACATCTCAGCCAGAACGGTAAATCTCTCATGGAAGCATTCGAGGGCTGCATGGAGTGGCAAACACAACAGACAACACTATGAGCTCTTCGTTTAACAGACATTACTAAGTAGTACTGCAAGAGATTGCAGCACATGCGAACCTCTGCTCATTAAAGAAGCAATCGAACAATTACGAGTTAATAAAGAAGTCAATTCGTTGTGGAAATAACACCAAAAGGCAGAAATAAAAGTGAACAGAATTAGAGATGAGGAAACCTCCTTCTCATCCGCCGCGCTACATTCAAAACAGAATTTGAAATTCATTGGAACATGGCCGAAGGCCTTAGTTCATTCAGTAAATAATGGATTAAAATAAACGGGTAGATTTCCTAGATACTAGCTCTATTCTCCGTTCACAGGATGAATATCTATAGGTAGAAGATAAGACCAGCTCGGAGTCCTCTTCGAACCATTGTCCTTCGGAATACTAGTGCAAAACTGGAGCTGGTAACTAGTGGATGAAAAGCATAGAACACAATTCAGCTTAATATCTGAATAACTTTTAAGGTATAGGACTAAGCCACGCAATTTGTCTAAACCTTCCCTATAGAACATTTTCTTCAACGCAGACAACAAAACAAACACTCTTTGGTTACTCAACTATTCCAATTCACTCTATTTTAAGCCAAATTCTTCTGTTTTTATCAGCTTCTAGGTTCATCAACCTTGCTCGCTATGTGCAGTATAGCAGGACTTATCACGTTGTCAGTCTTCATGTGGTAATGCTACGTTGTAGTAGAAGCCCAGCTAGTTTTTACCACTGAAATTTAGATGCACATATCCCAGCTGGCACTGAACATTATCAGTGTTCGAAATGGAAAAGGTTTGTAATGCAAATATTTTTGCTATTTTAGAGACTTTTCCAGCAGACATAACATTTTTCCATCCGGTTGAAGCAAACTATAGCTTTACTTTTCTCAGACCGGCTGCAAAATGTTCCATTCCCAGATGTATAGTTTAACTGCCTATGTAACAATCATAAATTGACGTCTAAACAGGTGTTACTATTTAGTTCACTAAGATTTAGTTGTTAGCACTCCTATTTGTTTATTGTTGTTGATTAAATAGGGCTTCACCTATTCATGTTTGAGCTCTGGTACAGCCACACCACGAAAGACGAGCACTTTACCCTAAAATAGCTAACGAAGTGTTATCTAAATTGCTTGAGCGACCATATTTCTCCCAACTTTCCGACGGTTTACCGCGTTCGTGGGTGTTGCTGAGTGTCGGGCTGGAATGTACAACGGAAGTCCCTAGCAAAGCCCTCCAAGCTGAGTAGGTGTACGACGCTTCCAACGAGAAGCCTAGCTAAGAGTAAACCAATACCAGGAATCACACCGAACCTGCTCCACGATTCCTCCTGCCTTAACGTATGCATCGGATACTTGGTTGCTGCGTAAGCACGACGAGGAACCACTCAATGTTATTGAACGCGCAGTCGAAACGACGATGCCAAGAGTATCTCGTGTCACACAACTGGGGAAAAGGATCTGAAGCTCCGACCTGCGCCAGCGATCGAAAGTCGATGACGCCGTTCTATACGCCAAACTACCGAATATAAGGTGGGCCCGACACATAATGCGTATGAACGACAACCAATGGACAAGAGTCATTAGTGACTGTATTCCTCGAGATGTCAAGCGTACTGCAGGAAGACCACCGAGCCGATGATCAGAGTTCCTCAAGAAAATCCTAGGAAAAAGATATGATGCTCAATGAGTCCCTATGGCGAGCAGAACCCACTGGGCTACTCTTGCATGCGACATGGAAAAACGGAAGATTTACTAGTGGCCGTTCGAGTCACTCGACGAACAACGGGGCAATGGGATGAGAGGTGATACAAGTGATCCTTCCCACTCGTGATAAAGAATCGATCGAAAAGGAAGTTCAGTTCTTCTGCCGTTAACATGGTTGAAGGAAATGAGGTTTAAGTTTTGACCAGTAGTTGACTGTTCCTTGATATAAGGTAAAAAACAACAAAATAAAGCTCTCGATGTTGATCAATCGCTAAGAGATGCTACATGCATTCGACTTCATTAAGCATCGTTTGGAGGTGATTGGGTGCATACCTGGCCTTTACAATGACTCGCGGTGGCCTACCGATGTATCAAGCCAGTGCTGCTATCCTCCCAGACAAGTCTGGTACTAACTTACCAACCTCGGAGGGATGGAAAGCTTGGTGGACCAAGGACGCGAAGATCGATCCCAAATGTGTATTGCAAGGCGCCTCCGACCACCGCGCCATACGAGCCCTCTTAATACAAAGTGAAGTTCCCAAGATCGACTTTCTCTTAACCTCGGCATTGGAATATGAATGTGTCGTTTTCTTGTTCAGCAATCGCGAGGTTTTTAAACAGCATACATTTACTTCCATAAAAACACAATACAATACAACGCTAGCTGACGTTTCGGCAGTATCGCCTTCTTCAGAGCCTGGAAGGGTATACTGATATACAATCTACTAGGCCAAACGCTTCAATAACACTTACACAAAGACGAAGAACTCTCCGGTAATTACATAATCAACAACTTCTCGAAAAACCCACCGCTTTTTCGTGGCTTCCAATGAGGAAGTTTAGAACAGCTGATTATAGTGTCAGCTGTTCTATAATAATAGTGTCAGCTGTTCTATAATAATCAGCTGTTCTAAACTTCCTCATTGGAAGTCACGAAAAAGCGGTGGGTTTTTCGAGAAGTTGTTGATTATGTAATTACCGGAGAGTTCTTCGTCTTTATGTAAGTGTTATTGAAGCGTTTGGCCTAGTAGATTGTATATCAGTATACCCTTCCAGGCTCTGAAGAAGGCGATACTGCCGAAACGTCAGCTAGCGTTGTATTGTATTGTGTTTTTTATGGAAGTAAATGTATGCTGTTTGAAAACCTCGCGATTGCTGAACAAGAAAACGACACAAAGTGAAGTTTTAAAAAACTCCGAAATGTACTCTACATAACTTACTAACTTCTGTTAGGAACTGTAAACAGTATTGGTGGGCGTATCATTGTTCTTTCAAAGTTGGATTATGTGGAAGTACATAGAAAAATATGGACAATACTTAGAACATAAAAAAAATTAGGAACGAGTGGAAAAAGACACAGAAAAGCCAGAATATTGCGCGAAAAACATAAAGCGGAATGATCATCGTTAGCTGTGGGCAAAACAGACCGTACGCGTTGAGTTCAATACATGTCGTCTGTCGCGAAGCTGTTCCCACACGAAATCACATGCAATCACGTACGTTTGAAACCCAACACCTCTTGGTATCCAAGAAACTCTTGCGTTCCTATACTGTAGACAAAGCAATCACAATATTCGTCATTGTTTTTAAGAATCGAGTCTTCAAGGAAACTTGTCGGAAAACGACGAAATGACAACAGATAAGGTTTTTAACCCCCTCTCTTTAACGATAACGGCTTCCTTTCTCTATTTGTTTTAGAAAAGTGCAGTACTGTACAAAGAATCAATAGCGCGAATAAGAATAGAACTTCAACATAACGTCGACATCTCCATTCATCTTCGTCGAGCACGAGAAGTTGACGGCCCGCTCGTGTTGAACTTGTTCCCGGGTTAACTGACGATGTCAGAGATATGAATCCAACTATGGATAACACGTGAACACCCAGGAGCTGCATGCACCCCATCCACGACGGGATGGTGAGTCGTTGACAAACATGGTAGTAGCATTACGAATTTCGTATGAAATGCTGAGATATTTGCAAAACTCCGGACCACAGGTGTATGCAATGGAGAACGAACACGCGCTGTTGTCCTTACCGGGGAGCAGCGCACTTCACCACTACACCATCCAGAATTTCAATTGATTACCGTACGATGACATTGACGAAATTACAAATAATGCCAGCAAGGGTGTAACGCAGAAGAAATCTCAATAATGGTACATGAACACAGTCATAGTAAAGAAAAAGGTAGTACTCGAATCGAACGCATTAATAAGTGGGGGCAGTTTGGAGTGGATATTTCGTGCTCTAATCGAAGTGAAAAGTACGCGCGGAAGCTGTTAATTTGAAAACTTTAGGCAGTCGTTTTTGGGCTTGATATCTTATATTTTCAGTCATTGTATCTTTTTATTTGATCAGGTAGGTTTCTGATTCGCGTTTTGACTGGATATTCCAACTTTTGCTTTCCTTGTGGGAAGCACGTTTCTGAGTTTTGATGAGTTGTCTTGATTACGGGCAGGCCATCTGTGTAGTCTTAGGCTTTTCTAGCAACGGGAAGCTTTTGCTTCTGCTATTTGACAACTTCGTTGTAATTTAAAGAGTTTTAAGTGTGTTCTAACTAGCACAAATTGATTAATCGGCGCTTTTTCTTTCCAAACTTTGCTTGTTTATTTGAGTTTGAAACTATCATATAACATTTCCAGGAAAGCGTATCTCTCTTCCATGTTTTAGTCCATTTTGGGTAGTTGGACAAGTATGAACGGCGATGTTCGTAGGTCGTTGTCTTCTAAAGAACGAATAAGTCTTCGATTGTGGGTTTTCAAGGTGAGTCGAACCCTTGATGAACCCTCCTTTGAAAAAATTGTGTGCTCTCTCACAAGGTGAAGCTTTTTCTGCGGTCTGATCTCTAAGAAGTATCCTGTTTAATGTCTTTTTTTTTGGGAACTTGTATTTTACTGCCCTTCTTAGCTTTTTTATGGACAACTGGATAATGTGTAGC